AAACCCGGAGCGAGGAGGAGGGCGAGCTGCAGGCCTTCAAGGCCTTTGTGGAGAAGACTTTCCCAGGTACCGTGAGCTGCTGGAGTGGTTGCCCTTGGAGGGAAGGCAGGTGCTGGGTGTGAGCTTCAGCACATTCCCTAACCCGAGCCTCTCCTTGCTCGTCCCTCCCAGGCAGTGTCCTGAAGCACGAGCACCAGGGCATGGTGCATTACCACTTGACCAACAAGAACCTCAGCTGGGCACAGGTAAGGGGCTGCTGGAGCACCTCCTCCCATTTGCAGGAGGAGGGATCACTTCCCCTGCCCCTTTGCATGCTCTTGGTACTTTGCTTTCAGCACGCATCATTCCCATCCTCATCTCCCTGCAGGGACCATGGCACGGGTGGGCACAGCATCCCCCTCCCTGCCCTTGCCCCTCGGCCGCAGAAGCCTCCTTGCACCTCAGCTTTGGGTGCTGCCACGGGCAGGCAGGTGCAGTCCCCATGGGGCTGTGGGCAGTGGCTTCACCGAGCCACAGACCCTGTGGGGTCCCAGCCCAGGGATACGTTGAAGCCCCAGAGAGTATGTGTAGGCTGTCACCATCTGCACACAGTGCACACAGATTGCCTGGAGTGCATACATAGTAATACAGAGCCATACTGTCTCTCCCTGTGTACACGACCTGTCTCTGTACACACTGTCTATAAATACATGTATAGTAAACATATACATAGTATACAGATGTTTTTTATATGCAGTATATACTGATATATATATATAGGGTTTTATATATCTGTGTATTATATACATATATATATCTCCTGTATATACCGTATTTTTTTATCTGTATACTCTCCATAGAGTATATGGTAATACCCTATAGAGTATATACTGTAGTATCAGGTATATAGTGTACCATACAGAGTGTATATACACTACACAGAGAGTACATAGCACACAGGTTATATAAAAACTATTATACATACAGTTTGTATATATAGTTATGTATAAAATATTTATAATCTGTGTGCTATACAGTTATTTATAGTATATATAGTAACACCGTGTAGGGTTTTTTCTGTATCAGATAAATACGTTAAGTGTGTAATGTGTTAGCAGAGACCTTGGGCTGGGATTTAAACCCATAAATATGTATATGTATGCATTTATCTCATATGAGTACGTCTCACACAGCATATGTTTTTAAGCGGGGTCAGGTACTCTGCTAAATAATCCATCTCCTGGCTTCTCCCTGCCCTTCTGCAAGGGAAGGTGTCTGGATCTCTCTGGGTCTCCCTGGAGGAAAAACCTTCCCCTGCTTTCCCTGTCGAAGCCTGGGGGTCCCTGTGGCAGCCGTGGGGTTCCCCCCAGGGTGAGGCACACTGCCCTGACTGCCCTGTCCTCCCTTGCAGGTGTTTGGGGCCTTGGAGAAAGCCAAAGAGAAGTATCGCTTGGAAGACTACTCCGTGAGCCAGATCTCTCTGGAGCAAGTCTTCATGAGCTTCACTCGCTTCCAGCACTACACAGAGGACAGAGGGAAATGAGCCCCTCTGGTGTCCTTCGTCACGGACTGGCCCTCAGCCTATACATAGTATATATAGAGACAGTAATTTATATATCAGCGTGTCTTAAATAATGTACAAATGTAAAACTTCTCACCGGGGAGGGGGGAGAGGCCGGCGGTGTTCCTGCTGCCATTGGGCTCGCCGGGACTGCCACGTGCCGCCGGCGCAGCCTGCGCGTAGGACACGGCCACGTCTGCAGCCTTCATCCCATCCGTGCAGCAAAACAGATCCGCCCAGCCCGCCAGCAGGAGCCTGGGTGGGTGGAGAGGTGTTGGGCTTGAATTGGCAGAGGAGGAGCGGGAGGTCTCCTTGCTCCCCTCTTCCCTGCCCATCGCTTGCTCCCTGCAGGATGCTGCTTCGTGGTCCTCACCCGCATGTCGATGTGTTGTTTGGTGGTTGCTCGTGGTTTAGCAGGAGGCTGTTACATAGCTTAGATCCAAACCATCCCTGGGGTCAGCAGGATTAGCTGGGATTGCCTGTAGAAGCACTTTCTGTCCAGCTGAAGGGACACAGCATGGCTTCCATCCAGCCCCTGCCTGGCAGGAGACGGAGGAAGTTCTGTCTCCTTTAACTGCTTG